TGAGGGCTCCGCCTGGTGCGGCTGAGAAGCCAGCACACGGGAGGCGCCCACCAGTGGGCATGGTCGTTACCGAACTTTCTAAAGGAGCCGGGAACGTTCAGTAAGGCCAGGTGGGTGGGCTCCTTTTAGCCAGGTTCCCGGGAGCTGCCACCTGGGAGCCTGGTCGGGAGGGAGAGCGGGGCGCGGACAGGCCTGATTTCGCGCCAGCCATTCCCAGGCAGACGCCGTTCTGGTGCCGACGCCTGTGACAGCCGATGGGAAGAGCGGGAACGTGAAAGAAAAAAGGGTGTTTAAGGTTTCACATTTCAAACCTGAAATGTCCTAGAAGCTAAAACCATTAAAACAGTGGTTCTTAGAAAACTGCTTTGTTTCCCATGGGATTTTTTTTAATCCTCACCCAAGGGTATGTGTTTTTTTTTAATTGATTTTCGAGAGAAAGGAAGGGAGAGAGAGAAACATCGCTGTGAAAGAGAAACACTGATTGGTGGCCTCCTGCATCCTGACTGGGAATCGAACCTGAAACCGTTGGGTGTACAGGACGTCGCTCCGACTAAGCGAGCCGCCGGCCAAGCGAGCGCCGGCCAGGGCAGAAGCTGCCTTTGTGAGCAGCTCTTCCAGCTCCGTCAGCAAACAAACAGCGTCCGAGCCGTCATCCTCTCCAGGAGCGCTCTGTGTCCTGCACACGGGCCGAGGGGCAAGAAGAGGCTGTCTCGGGTCAGGGTTACCATGGTGACACCGTTACACGATGAAAGGATGGAAAATAGATTCCACTTCATTTATATGCTGTCGTCTACCAAAGATGACTTAAGGAGCTCTAGGCAATGGTTGTGTGTGTGTGTGTGTGTGTTTCAAATATATTTTTATTGATTTCAAAGGTAGAGAGAGATAGAAACATCAATGATGAGAGAGAATCATGGACCGGCTGCCTCCTGCACGCCCCCTACTGAGGATCGAGCCCACAACCCGGCATGTGCCCTGACCGGGAATTGAACCATGACCTCCTGGTTCATAGGTCGATGCTCAACCCCTGAGCCACACCGGCCGGGCTGGGCAGTGTTATTTTTAACTTTTATTAAGCTTTAATACAACTAAAATCTACAGAAACGTTGCAGAGAACTCCTCCTCTATGATGCCCTCTGCCCAGACTCACACATCTGCCGTGAGCTTCCCCACCCATCCCCGCGTTTTCCTCGTGCGTGGACCGTGTTCCTGAGCCCGCTTTCCCGTGGCGCCGCCCCCCCCAGACCCGCCGGCGTGGAGCGCCGGCACCCACATCCCGGAGCGGCTGTAGAGGGAGGCAGGGCGCTCCGACGAGCGAGCGGCGTTAAAAGCGAAGCCATCCTCTGGCTCCTTTATTTCAGATGAGGAGTAACTTCCGACATTACTTCCTCAAGTCCCCGCAGCTGAAGCTGCTGTACGACGTCGTCACCTGGGGAGCCACCCAGGTGGCTGTGAGTTACACGGTGGTGCCCTTCGTGCTGCTCTCCGTCAAGCCGTCCTTCGCGTTCTACAGGTGAGTGCTGCTCGGCAGCCATGGCAGCCCTGTCCCTGGGGGTGGCTCCGCTTGTGAAAGACAGCGCCTCGCTCTGGGGCACGACGGGGAAATGGCACCGTCGCCTCATTTCCTGCGGCTAAATGCACCATCACTTTAGTCTAAAAGAGTGGTTCTCAACCTTCCGAATGCCGCGACCCTTTAATACAGCTCCTCATGTTGTGGTGACCCCCAATTTCATTGTTACAAATTGAACATAATGAAAGCATAGTGATTAATCGCAAAAACAATATGTAATTATATATGTGTTTTCCGATGGTCTTAGGCGACCCCTGTGAAAGGGTCGTTCGACCCCCAAAGGGTTGAGAACCGCTGGTCTAAAAGCATGCGGTCTCCGGATACTTGGTAGAGCGTTTCCCCACTCAGCCCTCAGACGAGGGTCTGATCGGAGAACCTCCGGGCTCTCAAAGGGCGAACCAGAAAGTGTCGCTGTTCTTTGCAAGGAATCCTTCCTTCTCTTGTTTCCTTTCATCAGAATGACATAAATTAGTCCTATTCCACTCACCTGCTTTGGTTTCACTCTGTCTCTCATGTTTCATCGGCCCCTGGTCATCGCTGTAATGTAGAAATGACTGTCTTGAATTTCATGTTTTATTTCTCTAACTCCTCCCCTTCCCCCCCCCTTCCCCATTAGTGATATCTTCTAGATCAAAACCTTTATTCTTTCATAAATTCTGCATTATCTTGGCATTTAGAACGACAGCACAGAATCCGGGGTCAAAAATGGTTGAATTGGATGTGATGAAAACCGTACAGGAAACATTAAGAAACTCCTGCTGCTAAAGTTCCATCGTAACAACTTGTTGCATATTTTTGAATGGGACGGAGCTGTTTGAATTTTCGCCTAGTTTTTTGGTTCACCATCCCGTGAACTTATAGCTGTAGGAGGAGGATAGGCCCCATTTTGGCTGATATTTCATTTGGGGAATGAGGTTTCTAATAGTTTTGATCACGTGGCATTTCTTTATTTTGTGACCGTAACATCCATGTTGCGTGTCTATTACTCACGTCATTAGAATACACGTGGCTCGATTGGGGACAGTAACTAGCGGGAGAGGCCGAGCGGCAGCCACCTGCACTGGCCCTGCCTCCTCTGCCCGCTGAGCACTGGGTCCTGTGGGTCTGAGGTTTCTGGATCTATTTAGCCATGGCCTCCGACCCTCACAAAGGAATGTAACAGGGTGACTAGGCTCACGCTTACAGTCCGCGTGGCTTTCTGCGGAGCTTTATAAATACCCCGCACGCGCTGCGGGGTGCCACTCAGGGTGGGGGCGGGGAGGGTAAGAGGATAGCGTGGTCAGTAAACACATGCGGAGGGCAGGTGGCATTTGGACAAATGTGCAGTTATGACAGATGGTTCATGATCACATGTTTCATCACCGCTTCCCCTTTTCTTTTAGCTCCTGGAGTTACTGCCTTCACATTGCCGGCCTCTTAGTATTGTTGTTCTTACCCGTGAAAAAGACCCAGAGAGGACAGGACCCACACGAACACAGGCGGCTGTCGCAATCCAAAAAGTTTGACGAAAATTCTTGGGGACAGAATAGTTTTCCCACAACAAACAATGTGTGCAATCAGGGTCCAGCACGAGCCGCCAGACACCCATCGGGAACGGAGTGACGGGAACCCGAGGGCTGTGTTCTGTATGTTAACAGCGACCGATCTTAGCACCTTCTCCAGGGGGTGGGGTTCGTTGGAAAAGAGAGTAAGTTGGGGGTGCGGGGGGGCGGGGGGGCGAATCGGACAGTTGCTGATAGGGAAGGCCCTGTGTACTCGATGGGAAACGGAGTGATACTCCCCCTCCCTCGCCATGTTCCCGTGGGCCACGCCTTACAGAAGGTATTTCCATGGTCTCCGTGGGCGCTCAGGACCTCGGCGTCTGGCCGCAGGGTCCCCCGGGTGCCCTGTTGCTGAATGTACACTGTGCGCCCCGAGGCAGCGGCGAGACGGGGACATAACGGTGTCCGTCTGGCCGATGGAGGGAAATTAGCTTTTCCAAATGAATGTCTTGCCTTAAACCCTCTCTTCCCTCAAATGTCGTTCCTAAATGGTCTTTTCAACTGTAACATTGTGAGAACTCAATTTCAATATTCGATGTGAAATGAGCTGTGAAGGAATTCTGGGGAAATTGGAAACAGGATATTTAAGATTGTGGGTATTTTAAAAATGCAATAAACGCCTCAGTATTTGAAGGGTTTTCTTAGCGCATCTCCAGTGACTACAGTGCATAGTGACTTTGTGAACAGCTCGGATGCCAAACTATAGGAAGCTCATTTCCCTGGGGAGTTTCATTACCTCGTGTCAGTCAGCGAGCCCTTCAAGGAGGAATTTCTTAGACATAATTAAAGACCGGCAATGCGATAGTTTAAGCTTATCTTCTGGCAAAAGAGAGAGGAGATGACGGGGTAAGGCAGGCGTGAGTGAAGGCCGCCCTGTGCGGCCGGGGCTGGGGCCGGGCGGCGGCAGGAGGCCCAGGTGCTCGGCGGGTTCCAGGTGCTCAGCAGAAGTGCTTTTCCTTACCCATCTGAGCTTCTGCGATACGTAGACATTTAATCACTTTTTAGTGCGTTGGACTCTTAGAAGAAATTTACCAAGCATAAATTCTATCTATGTTATAGAAGGCCCGTGGCCGCAACGCCATGATGCCCAAACGACTGGTCACCAGGAGGTGCATGGAGCACCTCTCGGGCCCACCCTCCACACACCCCCGAGGCACCAGCAGCATCGGTGGAGCGTCGTGGGGCACCAGCAGCATCAGTGGAGCATCGTGGGGCACCAGCAGCATCCCCGGAGCGTCGTGGGGCGCCGGAAGCATCCGCAGAGTCGGGGCCTCGCGGGGCAGCGGACATGGCCCTGACGGCAGGCTAGGCCTAGGGGACCCTACACGCGCACGATTTAACCGTGTGCTGGGCCTCTAGTAGGTCTATAAAAGGATTATGGAAATAATAGTGGTAGATTGCCCCAAGGGTTTGAAAGAGAGATCACTGAGTGAGGCTCTCTCTGGCCATTCACTCCCTCCTCTGTGACTGTTTAATTCTTATTTGGGAAAGTTTTAGGGAAATGAAAACTTAATGCCATTGGGTCTGAGCCACATTTTTAGAGAATAATATAAAGTCTTTTCCAAATCCCTAACTTCTCATATTAAAATGTTGCTGTAATGCTTGTTAATGAGTTTTCCATTCTGTAAGTGGAAAGGTGTGCTTTTAGCTCCTGGGCCCCGAGTCTCTCCCCGAATCCCAGCCTTGTGCTTCGAAAGGGGGGCGGGGGGGAGGGGGGACAAGGTGTCAGCCTGGCTCAGGGCCTCGGCCGTGGACCCCACACAGGGCCGGGCGCCAGGCGGACAGGCGGGGCCTTCGCACGGCACCTCTGACCAATCTCTTGTGGAATTTATTTTCTTTTTGCCTTAAGTTATTTAATGAAATGCAAGTTATCTATGGCGGGTCTCTCTTTTTTATTTTTGTCATTAGTAACTTTTCAAATGATGTTAAGAACGGAACAGCCATGTGGCTTCAGCGACATAGTATTTCATTGAAAGAAGACAGGGAAAGCAATGCACTTGGGACCTTTGAGGTCTTAATCAGCAAAAATACCACTGTGTCTTTTCAGAACTTCGGAAATATCCGAGTGTTTGTGTGAAATGTGTTCATTTTTCTGAAGGTAAATGTTCCCCCCTGATGAGGTTAGCCCTGCGCTGTCGCCTCCCAGGAAAGAGTAGGTGGCGGAGTACATTCTCTCCGTTTCCCCCTGCGTGGCATCGAGCCGGCTGTGCAATGTGAGAGGAGAGGCGAGAATCATCACGGGCAGTACCTGCCCCCAACTCTCTCCCGTGGTCTAAGTTAATGCTGCCGGGAGCCTGGCCTCGAGGAAGAGAAAGTAAACAAGTCTGGAGTTTAGGAGACAAGTGTAGGCATGCCCGAGAATAAAACTCCTTTTGTTCAGCCTGCCCAGCCCTTTCCAGACAATCACCGTGTGTTCCTGTTGCCGGACTGTTTTATATTTGGCCATGAGCCTCGAGCCCTGTTACTCCTGCTCTGAGTGTAATCATAGCGCCACCCCCGGGGCAGCAAGGTGGTCGATGGATTTTCCCATCCCGTTGGAGATAAACAGACTGATTTCCAAGGCCCACTAGTTGTTGTTCTTTGGTGTGAAATGGCTCAGTGGGTAGCTTTTCTCTCATTTTGGAGCCATGTATTGATTTTATTCTTTTCCCATTAAATTGATCGGAGTTAATTTCGGAGAAATTACCATCACAAATATGTAATCCAGAAGAACCACGGGAGAAGGAATTCGGATTCTCCAGGTGACTTCTCCCCCAGGAGGGACCCCCTGTGGTCTGTAAGGCGCAGTGCCCGCGGGGAGTGTGCAGGGACCCGCCCCGCTCCTTCCGGCGTGGGAGCGATGCGCCTCGGGCCGGCTTCCTTAGGAATCACAGACTCGGAGTCAGTGCGCATTCACACTCTCTCCACCTTCCGTTGACATGAGACCACTCCAGAGGTGACCCCTCAGTGTTGTATTTGTACTTTTGGTTGGTGATTATGCGACTCAGGGAAAAATGAGCAGAAGTAATTCTCCTCTCTCTCATTTTCTTGGACAGTTAGTCATCTTCACTTGATGTCTCTCCGCTTTACGAGCGGCTTCCTCTCGGTGTTTAACAGAAGCATTTTCATCGGAACGTGGGGTCATTGGGGAAATTCCTTTCACTCCTAAAATGTCCTGCACGGTAGAGGTTTCTGTGGTTCCCACCCGCACGGCCACCACCTGGCCGCCACCACGCTTCGGGGTGGGAAGCGTTGTTGTGGCTGATCCCAGCCACGGGTGGCAGTCACGTACGGGCTCCCCCAGATGCTAGTTTTGAGAAGAATCTGCAGTGAGAAGGGTGGTTCTGGAGGCGAAGGTGGCTCCCACTGAAGCCCCGATGGCCTTGGGGAGACCTGGGCCTTCCGGGGCTCAGTGTGAACGAGCCCGTGGCTCGGTCCTAGAGCTGCGGCCAGTGTGTGTGTAAGAATGGCGGCCTGAGCAGACCCGTCAGCCACGGGCGAGGGCGGGCTCTCCTGGTCATGCACTTGGGTTACGGTGCTCGGAGGCCCGGCTCTCCAGGGACCGTCAGGGGCAGCGGAGGGAAGCCGTTCAGCCCGTTCAGCCAGGACGCACGCCGTCTTCACCGAGCCGGCCCGACAAGGAGCCTTCAGATGGGATAGTCTCTCCGAAGAGCACGTTCCCTTTCGCTGTCTCTGCCTTTCGTGTTTGTTTCTGTTCGTGCTGTTGAAGAGAGATGCTGAAACCATTTTATGCGCATTACCCACCTCACTGGGTGTACCGCTCTGCGGCTTCTCAAGTATCATTTCGTTCAAAGAGATTTAAAACATGTAATTTGGGTTCTACCTTGTTTTAAACGACGGAGAAATTAGAGTGTTTGCCATTAAAATAATTGCAGAATCTATACTTTAATTCGAGGGCTGGCTTGCACGTAGGACATACATTTTCCCTATTTAAAATTTTGAATATTCGTGAACAACTCTGGGTATTTATACGTTGTTGTGTGTTTCTTATCACAAACCGTTAAAAAGGATTCATTCATTGGTTGTGAGAGTTCCACGTTTTAATTGGGAGAAAACCATCACTTGAGGGAATACCTGCTTCCGAACGGTGCCTGCTGTTGCCGTCAGCCAGGGCCCTGTCCAGAGCTCTAGGTGTAAACCAGCGTGTTGCGGAGTTTCAGCAGCCGCGACTCACCCGTCCGAAGGGGAAGACATCAGACTTAGCGTAGGTGCAGCATCCCCAGTGTCACCGTGAAATGGGGTCTTCCCAGCGCTCCGTGCCCAGCGGCCGGCCGGCTGCACCCTGAGCTGAGGTGTTGGGGCGTCTGCTCTGCAGCCTCACCTCGAAATGCAGGGTCCTGTAGCTGAAGGGAAAGGTTTGCCTCTGAAAGGAGAAACCCCACTCAGATGTGCATTTGAAAGCTGAGACTGTAGGGAGTGTCCCCAGCGTTGGTCTGCAGCGCCTGCTCTCAATCTCCCTGCAGTCGCTGCTAGGGAAGGGGATGCAGAGAGCAATTCCCCTGTTGGCTCTGCGGGAAGGCCCTGCTAGCAGCGAGGCAGGAAGCTGCGCGGCTCCCGGAGGAGGAGGCAGCTGGCTCCATTGTGACGGCCGGGCCGCTCCGCAAGGTTTCCACCTGCTTTAAAGTGCCACTGATTTTAGTCGGTTTTAACGTCACGCAGACGCTCTCGGCCACGCACTGGGCAGCCTTCCTCACCCAGAGCCCGAGACACCTGTTCATGCCGACTGTCTGTCTCGCCTGTAGCCCTGTCTTCTGTTCATACACCTTTTATACAGCAAAGGAGCAACCCAAACACGCCCCTGGCCTGTGTTCTATAAATACTGGTGAGAAGACCCAGGCTAAACCACGGTCTCAGCTCTGTGACGCACGGCCACCCGCAGGCGTGTTTTGTCAGATGCTGCTGCTGTGGGAAGACAGGGACATGTAATGAGAGACCGAATGCTACAGAGTGGCGGCAGCAGGATGACTCAGGCTCCTGGAGTGGGGCGCTGGGAATGGAAACGGCGCCGGCCGCCTTCTCCCGGAGGCCCCGTGACCTGCCGCCGCTCTCCGTTCTGGGCTCACTTCTTTGAGAAATTGATGTGTTGATGTCCCTTTTTGTCCCTGTCCGTTAGAGGACAAACATGTAAAGAGTCTCCCAGGCCTTTGCAATATGCCTCTGTCCCCATTTTCTGTGTTTCTGGTTCTGTACATGCGGACTTGTCAGCGACGTGCATTCGCTCCTGACTTGGTCCCGTGGGGAAAGGAATCGAGCATCCGACACGGACGTGGCTTCTCTACCCGCCACCTGTGTGCGCCGGCCTCTCGGAACAGAGGGACAGACACAGGCCACGGGAAGGAGCGTGAACGCGGTTCCGGTGGAACAGGAGCGGCCCCGGGGCACAGAGGGAGGCGTGTGACTTCAGTCCTGCCTTCACGAGCCAACGTGACCTTCGCCAGGCGTGCTTGACCTTGACCTTTGCTCCTGGGACAGGAGGCTCCAGCGCCGGCAGCCGGGCTGGGCAGGACTCCTGTGCCTTCCCTGCGTGAGCCCGGGGCGTGGTGTTCTGTGCTTTCTGTTTTTACGATTCCAGAACATGTTTTTAAAGAAGTGCTACTTGTCAACAGCTCCGTACGTAGCTCTCGTGTGCCGCTGGGTCGGATGCCCTGTATCGTGGCGGTTCTGGTACCACTCCTATCTGGTCTGTGTCCTCAGAGCTGCCCCTGGCTTCCGGCTGGGTCTCAACCATGTTTGTAACATACACGCGAATGTTCTTTTCTAATGTGTGTGTCTTTGAAATGGATTAAACAGTAGTTTAAAAATGTCTGTGTGTGTGTGTGCTTTCAGCTCCGTGCGGAGAGCTGAACACCAGGCCTGCGTGAGAGGCGGCGGTCCTGCTACTGCAGCTTCCTCACCTGAGGATGGTGTTCCAAGGCAGCGGTTCTCAACCTGTGGGTCGAGACCCCTTTGGGGGTCGAACAACCCTTTCACAGGGGTCGCCTAAGACCATCGGAAAACACATATATAATTACATATTGTTTTTGTGATTAATCACTATGCTTTAATTATGTTCAATTTGTAACAATGAAAATACATCCTGCATATCAGATATTTACATGACGATTCATCACAGTAGCAAAATTACAGTTATGAAGTAGCAACAAAAATAATGTTATGGTTGGGGGTCACCACAACATGAGGAACTGTATTAAGGGGTCTCGGCGTTAGGAAGGTTGGGAACCACTGTTCTAGAGGAAGGGAGAGGGAGAGAGAGACAGAAACATCAATGATGAGAGAGAACCATGGATGGCCTGCCTCCTGCATGCCCCCTACTGGGGAGTGAGCCTGCAACCCGGGCATGTGCCCTGACCAGGCATCAAACCGTGACCTCCCGGTTCATAGGTTGACATTCAACCACTGGGCCATACTGGCTGGGCTCTTTCTTTCTTTCTTTTTTGATGGGAGAGTCTGGGCCCTAAGGAAATGTACATATAACACTCTTCTTGAGGCTAAGGACTCATGCCTTAAAGAGTGTGCAGTGACAAACAGGAAATCAACTTGCTGAGGGAAGGGTGCCCCCTGGCCCTTCCTCTCTGAAATCAACTAAAAAAAATAAAGAGTAACTAGTAACGGAAACCCACCTGCAGCCACCCCTCAGCATGGACAGTGACGCTTGTTGAAAAGTAGTCAGGGCAGCCCCTCTGCTGCCTTGCCCGTCCCCGACTCCACGGAGCCTCCTGCGGGCCCTCTGTGCCCCTGCTGCTGACCGCTGGCGGGCTGGCATTTGGGCGGCATTTGGCCGCGCCGCCCACTCTCTCGCTGGGGGTCTTTCCTCTCCTGCCTCCTCCTCCCTGCAGGGCCCGGTATTTCCCTGACGGTGACCTCCTTTCAGGGCGCAGGTAGGCCATCGACATAAAGTTAATGGAAATGTTCTTAACGTTCACCGAGAATGACAGGAAAGCAGACTGTGACCTGAGTGAGACACAGCCCGCAGGAGGCCCCGGTGACCAGCACCTGACTCTGAATCACTGTCCGGAGAAGCTGACTCAGAAGGAAGAACGAGGGGATTTCACGTCAACGACCCTGTGCTCCCGACATGTGACGCCCGGGGACTGGGCCCGCGAGCCGCAGTGTCACGGTGTCCTCGGTCCACAGCGGCGCGGCGCTTCGGCACACGAAAGGCGTCTCCCTCCTGCAGCCGTGCGTGACTTCCGAGAAGCGTGCGGCCCCCCGAAACCTGACGTCCTTTTCATATGAACTGGTGTGAAGTCGCTATAACTCTCTTTCTCCCAACCCTCCCTGTTTCTCTCTCCACCCACTTGAACACAGGGTGTCACATTTCCTTCTCCTGGTGCCTCTCCCGTCTGTTCTTGTGCTGCTGTGTGCTCCTCTTCCTGCCGCCACCTGGGGACAAGGAAGCGTCCCTCTGAGTGTGTTTTATGTAGAAGGAACACGCTGACCACACGGGGCAGGGACGAGACTGGCACAGGCATCACAAGAAGTGACAGGGACAACCATCATCAACTAAAGCAAAAAGAAAGGACGTTCTAGTCCAGCGATGGCGAACCTTTTGAGCTCGACGTGTCAGCATTTTGAAAAACCCTAACTTAACTCTGGTGCCGTGTTCACATATAGAAATTTTTTGATATTGGCAACCATAGTAAAACAAAGACATATATTTATTTTATATATTTAAATGCCATTTAACAAAGAAAAATCAACCAAAAAAATGAGTTCGCGTGTCACCTCTGACATGTGTGTCATAGGTTCGCCATCACTGTTCTAGGAGCATCCTGGGGCCCCCCGCCCCCTTTCAATAAGGAGCTTGGTTAATAAAATTTTCAAAATATATTTTTATTGATTTCAGAGAGGAAGGGAGAGGGAGAGAGAGAGAAACATCAATGATGAGAGAGAATCACTGACTGGCAGGTGTGCCGGGCGGGAGAAGAACGGAGAGGAGCTCGGCCCTGCAGGTGGGGCAAGTCAGAGGCCCCCTCTGCAGAGATGGGGTGGGAGCCAGCCTTGGGGGGCTGCGGAGCGGGGAGTGAGGGAGCAGGGAGCCGGTGGGCCCTCAGGGCCAGGAGTGGGGCTCCCACCTGCGTTGGGGGCAGGCAGGGACCCCGCTTCTGGGTTCCGAGGAAGGGATTGGCGCTGGCCTTCCTTTGCCGTATTTCGAGGACTTGCCATTGCGTTTAGGGCTCTGCACAAGCTTTGAGTGTGATGCTGAATTATAGGGTAACCACAGCGCCCGGCCAGGGTGGCTCAGTGGTCGAGTGCTGACCTCTGGACCCGGAGGTCACTGTGCGAATCCCCAGTGCGGGGCTGCCCCCCTCTCATCACTGATGTTTCTGCCTCTGTCCCTCTCCCTTCCTCTCTGAAATCCATTAAACACATTAAAATAATAATAAAGTAACCACAGCAAGAAGACAGGCATCCACAGCGGCACAAGGACACGCCCAGGCCGCACTGGCTCTCGCACTGCCCGCCGCCTCCA